AGCTTTGACCTCCATCCCAACCTTGTTGCCGTCATAAAAACGGTGACAGAAAGTTCCTGAAGCGAGGTTGTGCGAGGGGCATTCATTCGTTTCCGCACGGTAAGACAACACAGCGGGTGTGTGATCATGTTGCCGTGCAGCTTTTGGACACAAGCGGCAAGACGTTTCATCCACTGATGGTGTTCAAGGTCAAACATACAGCAGGGGAAGGAGGAGGAATCCGTGAATGGCCATCCATAAAAAAAAAAAAAAAAAAATTGAAGGTCAACATGGACATGCACCCCTTGCCACCTGGGGTAGACCCACAGATTTATTGGACAGGGAGACTGCCACAGCTTCTCAGTACGTTGCAGCATTAGTCTTTCTTCACAGTGGATAAAGAAGATACACCTGTGAGTATTCTTACTGTATATTACCGTATTGGCCCGAATATAAGACGGTGTTTTTTGCATTGAAATAAGACTGAAAAATTGGGGGTCGTCTTATAGTCGGGGTCTAGACTTTATACCCATTCACGACGCTAGATGGTGCCAGATACCATTGAAGCGAATGCTGAACTTGACTCCCCAGGCCAAAGCGAACCCCTGTCACGAAGAAGAAACAATAAAAATAGCGGTAGCAGGAAGAAGAAAAATAAAAAATAGCGGTAAGAAAGAAAAGAGAAGAAAATAATAGAAGAGATAACAGAAAATGGAGAAACGTAGCGACAATCTGGACAAAAGTGGGTCGAAGATCGGCCAGGTTAACCGGCAGCTGAGGAGAAGTTATGATGTAATTTATATTTCAAAAACCAGAAGCCATTCATTTACGAATGTGATTGCACTTTAGTTTACATATTTGAATGTCCAGATGTTAAGATTTGAATGAGGCAAAATAACATGCTTTTTCTCTCAAATATATTGTTATAATCATTTGTTTCAGATGTACTGTAATTATTTTCTGTATAAAAATTAATTTGGTGTTCAAAAAGTCTTTTTTCAAACTTCAGTCTTGAAAAAGAGGGGGTCGTCTTATAATCAGGGCCGTCTTATATTCGGGCCAATACGGTATTTGTCTTCCTGATTCTCTAACGTTTGTCTTCAAATATCCGTCGCTTCACAGTGACTACCGATGCTAATCGTGAGCCCGTCAGCGAAGCATTTTGAGTTCGCTGCGTAGTGCTTGCAGCTCAAATTTTTGCTAGCAAATCAAAAACCGTCTTGTGTCAAAAAAAAAAAAAAAAAGTTATGTCGGGTCAGTTCTATCTCAAGACGCCGATTTAGGAAAGGAGCGAGTGACTCCAAACACAGCCATATCGACGCGATGCCGGATACCACAGAGACGCACGAGTGACAAGGAAGATGCTGTCGCACAGTCGCTAACAAAACGCGTATTGAAAAAGCAGACGCTTACCTGGGAATCACGCCTACATCACCTGGGCCGTCCGATCTTCACGCTCCTTGTCCTGACGTTCGACCATCCCCAAGTGGACCGTTACGATCGGGCAGGGAGCCAAAAACAAAAAAAAAAAAAATCAAACACAAGCATCCAACTAGTAAACATTTGTGGGGGGGAATAAATAAAAACCAAAACAGCACCTACTTCCTTCTCCTTCCCTGACGTCTGATAGTTGCTGTCACTTTTCACACACTGAACACCCTGCTTGCCCCTCCTGCTCCCACGTCTGCAGTCAGTCAGTCTCAAGGACAAACGCTTCAGTCTCCCCGCCGCCGGGGGCTCTGTGGCTCGGCGATGCCGCAGACACACACACACGCGCACACAAACACGTCAATACACACTCGCCTGCATGGCGTTTCGCTCTGCTCGGGGGGGGGGGTGGGGTGGGGGTGGGGCGGGGGGTCACCTACCTGCCTGCTTGGACAGCTCACAGGGGAATCCTGAAAGTCAAGATGCAAAGTGCGTCCGGGAGAATAGAGGACACGCAACCCTCCCGTTTTCTCATCAAGGCGAGACTCTTCCAGTCGCAACGGGAGACGGTGAGGAAGGGATGGGAGAGCGGGAATGTCAGAGGAGAGAATGGGAGGAGGATGGGAGAGGAAGAACATGTGAAATGGAGGAAGATGAGAATAGGCAAGGGGAAATTGTCATATGTGTTATGTATTATTAAATGTGAAATAACTCTGGTGCGTGGAAATGGTTGCATAAACATTTTTGGAGTTTTTTGCTCATGACCTTGAAAACACGGTAATCCAATGCTTGATCACACTTCACATTGCAGTGTCGCGGCTTTTCCTGTTAATCACATTCATATTTTGTGTTGACATATGTTCCCAATGTGATTTAAGTGAGTTTAAATAAGCTTCGATGTGATTATAGCGTGTGGGAAGGCGAGTAGACGGCTTCGACGACAAAGCACGTGTTTTGAAGTTCGTCGAAAGCAGCCGTGCGAGCGCAAAGCCCCGTCCGCACAAATGGCTGCCCTATTGGACTGCTTTTTGAAAAAAATACAATTGTATACCTCAACTCAGGGAATGCCAGGAGTGCAAGAAATGAAAAGGAATCGACGCTGAGAATCATTCATGCTTTTGGTTTGTTGTGATCTGGCACGCGTGTGTGGTCGGCACGCTTGAGATCCGTTCAGTCGGTCACAAAATTTGGGCTGCGCAGATGCTTGCTTTGCTTGATCGCAGCAAACGATCGAGATAGCTGCAGATCGCAATTGCGCCCGGACAACAACTGATGTGAAGAGCGGCGGAGGGGTGACCCAGGCCAGATGCGCTGTCGGCAAAATCAGGAAAACTGAAAATGGAACAGGACGGCCCGGTGGTCCACTGTTTAGCGCGTCGACCTCACAGTGCAGAGGTAACGGGTTCAATTCCAGCTCCGGCCTCCCTATGTGGAGTTTGCATGTTCTCCCCGGGCCTGCGTGGGTTTTCTCTGGGTACTCCGGTTTCCTCCCACATACCAAAAATATGCATGGCAGGCTGACTGAACATTCTAAATCAAGGGTATCAAACTCATTTTTCGCGCGGGCCACATTTTAGTGACAGTATCCCCTGGAGGGCCATTTTGACTGAAACCATTGAAAGAAGTCAAGAATAACGGTTGATTCGGCTATTGTTGAAGTTACTATCATGAGGGGTTTGGTAATAAGAAAATGCTTGGAATATATCTTTTATATATTACATATGAGAATTAAAAAACAGTTGGTAGACATTTTAGAAAGGATCATGGAAGTTGACATGTTTGAGCGGCTTTCGTGGGCCATATAAAATGATGTGGCGGGCAAAATCTGGCCCCCGGGCCTCGAGTTTGACACACATGCTCGAAATTGTCCCTAGGTGTGAGCGTGGATGGTTGTTGGGTCTCTGTGTGCCCTGCGATTGGCTGGCAACCGGTTCAGGGTGTTTCCTGCCTGCTGCCCGAACGCGGCTGTGATAGGCTCCAGCATAAAGGGGATCGGAAAATGGATGGATGGATGAAAATGAAACAGTCGGTTGCTGTGTCTCTGCAAATGAGGGCGACATTGTTCCCCGTCTTTGCACTTTGTCAACAATTATTTTCAAACATGTATCACGTCTGAAGAAACAAAATGTCTAAATTCACTTTCTGGGGTCATTAGTGTCGTACAGTTGTCAGTGTACTAAGAATCAGCGTCATCCTCCGCTTGGTGTCAAGTCACTTTATTGGCCCTCTCCTGTACAAATGAACGTCATCATCTTACAGGTCAGGATCACAGAGTCACACGAAACAAAAAAAACTAAGTTTAAAAAAAAAAAAAAACATTCATTCAAAGGAATACACAAAACAAAAATAAGATTAGAATCCTTAAATCTTCTCTTGATTTCCATGGTCATCCAGTGCACATCCTTGTAGGTACGTTACAAGTTTAAAACGATTTAAGTCAGCCACTTGTTCTTTATTATTATTCTTCTTTTACTTTATGGGAAGCCAATTTCCAAACCTTTACACTGCGGAACATTAAAATTAGTGACACGTCAACAACGACCATCATTGAAACCGTTGAATGTACAGAATTTTCACGACGATAGGGCGCACTTAAATGGACGGGGCGACTACGGTAATCGATCCACCGGGTTCTAAAATCTGTGAATGTTGCAGCGTGACGGCGGCGGTGTGAAAGGAAAGGCGGACGTAACGGAAGATGGCACGCGGACGTTGAATGGCAAGGATGGGCGTGAAAGAGGATGCTCAAGGCACGCCCACTAGTAGGTGGCTATAATCGGACCCCCCGGCACCTATGAAGAGACACGCCTACGAAGAACAGTTCAAATTTGCACGACTGTCTGTGTCTTATGTGTCGTGTTTTGTTATTTTGACTTCAAGATGGCACCGCGAGAGTGGCTGCCTTTCCAGCAGCTCCTCTATTTTGTTCTTCGACTTTCTTTCATAACTTTGCTGCTGTGAATTGGGAATTTCTCCATTGCGAGACGAATAAAAGTTTTCTTATCTTAAACTTCAAGGGATCAGTTACGCGGAGGAACATGGCAATTAACTTATTCGGTACCAGCCAATTCCAGACCAAGTCTGAAAAGACGTTTAAAAACGTCTTTGGGAGTAAATGAGTTCAACAGCCGCGAGAGAATTTAAGATAAACGAATCCATGCTTCGCAAGTAGAAGAAGCAGGAGACGAAGCTGAGTCCCCGCGGAAACAAGGCGAGGTGGCCCGAGCTGGAACACCAAGTCGAGCAATGGCTTCACGGTCCCAAAGAACAGCCGGGAAAACCGTCTCGACGGTCGCCATTCGACTGAGGGCAAAAACGCTTGGAGAACAAATGAAAATCCAACATTTTCAAGGAGGTCCATCTGGGTGCTTTGGTTTTATGAAACGGCGCCAAATATCCATCTGGAGGACGACTGTGGCGTGGTAACTTCCGGCGGACTACAAAGGAAAAGCTGGCTACCTTCCGTTGCTGCTGCCATAAAAATATTGCCGACAAACCCATCCAGCCCAACCGCATCACCAACATGGACGAGGCGCCGCTCATTTCGACAACCGGGTGAACCACAGTCGAAAAGAAGGGGACCGGCACGGTAGCGATACACACAAGAAGTCTGCTTTTACTGTTGATCTTGGGTGCCATGATAATGGACAAAAACTTGTTTCCATGCCTTAGCCGTCCGTCCTTTAGATGTGTCTTTTTATTTTTAGTAATAACCTTTACAATATTACACTGCTAGGGGGCATTGTTGCCTCAACGAATGGAAATGAGAGCACCGGTTTTGGGGAGTGAGTCAAGTTGTCCTTCTGTGGGTCACGGTGAGCGCTCGCGAAATAAAGGGTTCTACGACCATCATACAAATGGAGTTATTATTCCAGTTAACAAGATGGACTTGTGAATGAGCATTGATCCAAAAATAGTGTGAACACATTGTGAAATAAATAACCACCGAATTCAGTTTTGCTCCCATTGCCTTTTTAAAAACATACGCTAGCGTGCGTGCATGCTAGCAGCTATTTTGGAAGCTAGCATGCATTTTACCAGGCCTCCGTACAATAATGCAGTGTGTCTTGTGTATGAATTAAATACAGAAAGCGCACCCATATCTGACACCGCGCCTTTTAAGACAGTGCACCGTATGGTCGTGAAAATACGGTAAAAAAAAAAAAAAATCATTTAAATTTGTCCCAAAGAGCTGCACATACGTTACCTTGAAGAACAAAACAAAACACGCAGATGTTTTTTTTTTTCCTCGAGATGAAGACAACATGGAGTGATGCGCATCCATCCACACGTTATAACTTCACCTCGTGACACTACGAGAAATCTTGACGTAAGCTCCAGATTGCGCGCAACAATTTCACTGACCTGCGCAGTCCAAGCTGGAGTTCATCAGTGGCTCAACTTTTCTGGTGGCCTGAACGCTTGTTTGATGAGGCAGAAAAGGTCGTAAGATCTCAGTCTTGGCTTCGGGTCACTTCCAACTCCCCAATATGGGAAATCAAGTATTCGTCACGCAGATTTCCCCCCCGCAGCTTTGATGTCACACAACGAGTTGGCTCGTCGGCGATCAGTTGAAACCCAACCCCGTGCCTTTCGGTCTCTGAAGGGCCCGGATGGGCTCGGTGATGCCCCGCCCCTCGGGACCCAGGCCCACACCCGGAGTCCATCCCATGCTCTGCAACATGCGGTTGCCCAGGTTGGTGTCGGGAATAGGCAGCGCGCTCTCGCCCACCACAGCTGAAACGAAGGGGACGGCGAGTGGACACAACAGTGCGATTAACGATGGATTTGCTCTCCGGCTGGAATGTAACAGAGTCAAGAAATTCACATTCTCACGTTCGATGTGAGAACATGGAGAGGTAGCTCAAAGTTTTACAAATCTAAAGGAAACAGAAGAGTTGAATTCATTTGTGATATCAATTATATTTCACTGCGCACACTAAACATTCAAACGTGATCTTATTAGCGACACCAAAGGAGGAAGTGTACAACAAATTGTGACACAAAGAGGAAAGTGTGTCCGCCCTGAAGAGATTGTGGTCACTTTGTTCCATCTCTTCCTGGAAGTCGAGTCGCGACAGGGCTACCCATTATGCCTTTTTAATCCTCGCTTTATTTGCACGCAGGGTTAAGCTGCTCTCTCGTTTACACTCTCCAGGGCCAAGTTCCGGGCGGGTCCCGGCCAAAAACTTTTCACATTTGCTCTGACACTCTCAGGCACTCTCTGGCTTTGAGATGTTGGGCAGAGTGGCTGATGAGCTTATCCGACATCTCTTGTGACTGACAGCCGAGTCTGGTCCGGCGGAGCTTCAACTAAGCTCCGCCGGACCAGACTTTTTTGTTTGTGTTTTTAACTCCTAAATGAGAATACACTTTGATTTAGTTTTTCATGGACAGCTGATATGAAAGACAAGATGGGGCGTGAGTTGCGCATTCAAGTACCTGAGGACGCCGTGGACCCGAGGGGGGCTGCCTTCCGCCTCCGCTTGACGTCGCCCATGCACAGGGAGCCCAGGTGGCCGCTCGTCTGTCTGCCAAAACAGGTGAAGAGAGACACATTTTGGAAAGACGAAGCAGATGAGCAATCAGCTACAACTGCGACATCCTCACCTGTTGGCCGTTTTTACCGAGCAGCTCCTACGATGGCCTCGTTCCGTCCGAGGGTCCCAGTGTAACTGAAGCGAGGTGTGGGGGGGGCAATGTTAAGAAATGCCAAATTACACTGAAGACCACTGCATGCAAGCCTTTAACTGTTCCCTTTTTTTCATGATACAGTGAAACTCCTCTACAACGAAATCATGTTTTGCAGCAAGACATTTTTCACAACAGGGGGGTTTTCACTGTAGCAAATTTGATCTCAGATGTACACGCGCACACATGAACAAATGTGTACTCTTCATTTTTATTCCAATAGTGCATAAGTATGAGCATACACTTATTTGACACTTCATATAGTCAGTGTAGAAAGAAAAAAGGGAAATAATTTGTGAAATTTACGATCAGCATTTGCTTTTTCACTTACATCAATTTCTTGGATAATGTATTTTATTTTGCTTCCTTCCAATTTGACCCTCTCTTCCAGCGTCTGAACTTTTTGTCTTAGTTGCTTGACATCCAGAGGTCCGTTTTGTAGCCATTTTAGCAATGCAACGTTCTTGCTGCGTCTGAAACTAACACTAACAAATACTTCCTGGACTACTGCGCATGTGTCAACCAGGGTGGTGGTTGCTGTTGCCGTTTCCAAATGAAGCAGGAGAGGTCGCTGTTGGATTAGACTTCGTTGTAGTGAATCTCGTTGCGAGAAAAAGAGCAGAGAAAAAGATCTCGTATAACGCAACAGAGGGTTTTTACGTTGTATGGGGGGCAGGAAAGTGGGAATGGTGTTAATGCATGAACGATTTTTTTCACACTAGGGGGTATTTTCGCCCATGTAGGTTTCGTTGTAGAAGAGTTTCACTGTATATCAATTCATGGAACAAGGGAGGCAAAGCCAAATATTTTGTTTGTTGAGTATAAAGTAGCAAAGGCTCTTGTAACCTTCTCAATTGGCCTCTGTGTGAAATTCAGAGACAGAAAAATGGCTTCTATTTCATCTCCGATGAATCTATATCTAGCGGCATGTGTCCTCAAGACTCACTTGCCCATGTTCCCTCCTCGAGCTTGAGCTGAACCACGGCCTGTTGAGGGCGAAACTTTAGCGGATGTGACATCAGAGCACCTCTTCGAATCAATCATTTTGAAAAGGAGAGTAACTCACTCGTGACCGTTGTCGAAGGCTTGACTGCTGCCGCCCTGCAGCAGGTCGTTACAGGGCCTCGGGTGCCCGTGGAGTCGGCTGAGCCGGGCCTGGAACCCTGACGGGCAGCAACGATAAATGCATCTCCAAATTGAAATAAAACATTGGAATCTAGTTGTACGCCGGGTAAAACAATGTATTTGTATTTAGCAAAGTGTGCTAACAGGAAGCTCCAAAAACACATGACGAGATGCTGTCATCCTTGTGCAAGTACAATCAGAGAGTTGGCGGATTTGTTGTTGGCGAATGATGTGAGAAGAAAAAAAAATGGGACAGTTGAAATTTCGGGACACATCCTCAGTCGTGCTCCTCTGGCTCATGGAGTGCTTTGGCAATTCACACCTTCACAGGAGGCGGCCAGCGACAGGCTGATCAGACCTGAGCTAATGCCCAATTAGTCATGAGAGTTATCCCATGGCAGACCTTTTCATGCCATACTGAAAGATGATTTCCCCCCATTCTTTCCAATTTCTTCTCCACTGTGCCTCGAAGTTGCTTGAAAGTCAGGGCCAGGTCATCATTCACCAACTCCTACAGCTTTATATCAGCACAGCCAGGCCATTTCAAATGTGGTTTGTGCCCTGGAAGTCTCCGCCCGACTGCAGTTCATGAAGTCTGGATGGTTTCCACCTCCAATATTTGTTCCACCGTTAGTTCTGAGATGGGCGGCCCGACCAAGTGGTTAGTGCGTCGAACGCAAAGTGCAGGGCGGCCCGGTGACCAAGTGGTTAGTGCGTCGACCGCACAATGCAGGGGTTCAATTGCAGCTCCCTGTGAGGAGTTTGCATGTTCTCCCCAGGCCAGCGTGGGTTTTCTCTCTCCCACATTCCAAAAACATGCACGGCAGGCTGATTGAGCACTCTAAATTGTCCCTTGGTGTGAGTTGAGTGTGAGCACGGATGGTTGTTGGACTCTGTGTGCCCTTTGATTGGCTGGCAACCGGTTCAGGGTGTCCCCGCTTACTGCCCGAAGACGGCTAGGATAGGCTCCAGCATCCCCCGCGACCCTTGTGAGGATAAGCGGATCGGAAAATGGATGGATGGATAGTTCTGAGTTTGAGTCTACTTCATCCATGACAGTGGTGTTGTCACGCAAGCTGTGGTTCAACATTAGCTTTGGTTTGTCCCTGGTGCCCCCTACTGGTACAATCAAGCACAGACTCTCACAATTAAATCTACATTCGGTGTTACTCTGCCTTCCGAGTGCTCCATTTGATGTTTTTTTATTTTGTTTTGTTTTTAAACTTTTGAGCTGACAGTAGGTCCATTATTTTCTTTACGTTGCAAAAATTTGAACGGCAACATGACAACGTGTATCAGGCTTCAATCACTGTGCAGCTAACGGACGTGGCAAAACGTAAAACAACCAGTACATTTTTTTTTTTAATGGATGTTATGCTGACATGTGGGGTTATCAGTGCCTACCTCTCCTGGCGTTGGGGCTCATGAGGGGGAAGGAGCCCGTGAGGATGTTGCTGAAGACTGGGTCATTCAGGTCCAGGTCCTCTGCGCAGGCATCGCTCTCCCACCAAGGGATGACACCCGCCACCCCGCAAGCACCCACGCTGCCCGAGCCGGGTTCTCCTTCGCAGAACCAGTCGCTCTGCTCGTCGTCACCTGCAAGTGACATTTGCATATGAACGGCTCCTGAAATGCTATTTTGTTGATGCTAATGTAGTGTGAAGTGAAATATGACCGTGAGGTGAAAGTACCTTGCCGGCCTTCGTCGTTGGTGTAGAGGCCTCCGTCGCTGCTGTTACTCACGCTGCTGGTTTCACTACAGGTACAGAAGGACACAACATTTTGTTTTGGAGATGAAAAGAAAAAATACATTGTGGGATGGATTATGATGGATTTTGATTGTCATTAACTTATTCAAGGCGAGGGCTTTGACCGATTTCCAACATCAACACAATATTGTGTTTCGTGCACCGAACCTACCAAAGGAAAGAAACGGCCGGCTCTCTTCTTACACCAGGAATAAAAAAATTGCTTCTTGCTTTTTCTGTTCATTAGTGATCAGCAGTAGAACATTAGTACAAATACTGGTTTCTGAACAAAAAGCGGAGAAAACCAAAAATCTTTTTCAGTTAATTTGTTCTATCGCGTTTCAGTTAACGTTTTGGATGTACAGGTATGCATTTTTTTTTGTATTGTATCAATGTTATTTTATTTTTATTTATGTATCAAATTATTCTTTCAAAATTCAAATTCTCTCATTGAAATGCATTTATTTGTTTAAACGTTACCATATATTGGTAATGTACTTTTTATCGTCTTTTTTATGAAATTCCAACAATTGTATCATGTATTTCGTGTACTTTTTGACATTCTATTATTTAATTCAACAACTTTTGCATGATGAGTGCACTTCCTGTCCATATGGCGCATGAACTTGTGACCTCCTCAAATCACTCATGTCACTTAGCAACGGTGACAAAATGGCCTCCGGGTGGGACAAGGGGGGGTTGGGGGGGGAGAGAAAAAGTCCAAACACTAACCACCTGTCGCTCATCTCCTCATCAGAGCCCTTGTGCTCCTCCAGCTCCATCTTGTCCTTGCATCCTTCCCCCACAGATGAGACGGGCTCCTCGCTCTCCACCACTACTCCTTCATCGGCAGCCTCCGCCCCCAGCCTGTGGGGGGCCAGCTTCCTCTTCTTCATTCTGTTCTTACTTCCCATCCCCGGGAACGGGCCGCCGCCACAGATTTCCATGACCGCCCGGCCCTCGCCGGGGCTCGGCCGGCTGGGCCCGGCGCCCGCCGCGCGAGCCTTGGGGACGGACGGTGGGGCCGGCATCACTGCGGAGGGGAGGTCCGGTTCGGCTGGGGGATCCACAGCCATGCGCTTGACCTTGCGTCGTCGCCTGAGGCTGCGGGTTCCCTCGGCGGACCCTAGCACGCCCGGGTCGTCCGGCCAAAGAGGCCGCTTGCTCCTACCCACGTCGGATGTCTGCGGCGTGCGGCGGTTGGGGCCCA